TGGTAATTGTATCATGTGTTATTTTAGATCGTAAAAAAAAAATTGCCAATATCAATTGTCTTAATTACAATATACATATATACATATATTGCTAAGCTTGATGATGGTTTTTGTATTGTATTGTTGTTATTTACTGAACCTTTCGTTTTCAAAAACATTTAGGTTCATAACAATTTTTGATGTACAAGAAACGTACAATTTCACTGTTTTTAAGAGGAAATAAAACTGATTTGTGCAATCAATTTTGTTCAGTGCCTAAAATAATAACTTTAAAAGAACATCTAATAAGTCTTCTGATGATCACATTTTTTTTTAAACAATGAATTTTCCATAGAATTTTTAATTCCGTGTAATGATGACATATTATATTTGCATGATGCTAAAAAATGTATGTATTAAATTTAATAATTTTCTTACTCATGATGGAGGTAATAAGCTTTATTATATTATTTGTATTTTTAAATTAAAACACAGAATAACAATAAAGAATATAGTGCAATAAATATTAATTATATACCCAAAATTCAACTATTTATAACTATATATAGTATCAAGAAAGCTTTGTCTCTAAAAGTATGTGTCTATAATATTAATTCACTATTATGTCACTAAGTGTAGTTATTTTTCTTTCTAAACTTTGATAAACTAAAATCTGCAAATACTCACTTCTCAAAACCTCGCTCTGGGGGCTCTTTGAATTTCGAAGAAACATTTGCATGATTAATGCCTCAAGCTTTAAGTTTTTTATTGTGATGATCCATGTTTTAATTCCTACCAATAAAACATTGGCATCTTTTGTACAATATTATGTTGTTTTGGAAAATAATAAAATGTTTTTGTAGTGGAATCAGTTTCCAGAATTCAGTGATTCGGTAAAGAGATTTATTAAAATAATATATTTTAAATATAGGTAATATAAAACATTTCAATAGATAGCAGCTAAATTGTATTGATAACACAGCAAAAAAGAAAGTGTAAACTTAAATACGAAATGCAATTTTATTGATAAAAACTATTGTCTTATAATTTTAATACAAAATGTTTGCCTCATAAACAAAATATGATCAAAGAGAATGTATTTTAGTATTAAAAAATACAATTAATTAAGTGTCAGTTCATACTAAATTGACTCTACAATTAATAGAGATGTATACATAATTAACTTAGGTACGTATACAAAGTATACAAAAATAAAAATTTAATTACTTTTCATTAATAAAATATGAAAAACACTTCGAAAGTAATGTTTATGATCGCCATTCACAATGTTAAAATTTTTATTTTTATTACGTATTGAGTCAAAGAAAAATGTAAAATAAAATACCGATATATAATAACGTATTTATTTTTATGTTAGACTCAAATGCTGAAACTAATTTTACCTACTAACTGTTGAATAGATGGACCATAATTTTCTGAATCGATGACTTTGTCGGTAAAGAACACACACAGCAGTTTTCTCACAAAATGTAACATGATGGTAATTTAAATTGTCTGTTTTTGAACAACATCTAGTTTCATACGTAGGTACCTAATCAATCGATGAATATTTACTTTTTTCATATTATAACGTTGAACAAAAGTGTGCCTTTATAATTTTTTTTTTTTTTTACGTGTGTTTGTGTGTGCGTGAGTCTGATGTAGTCGGTAAATTGTGTACATAATACGTGGTGTAAATGACATTTTTATGTTTGGATTTTAGAGCCTCTCTTTTTGATGGAGTGGTCAGTTGACGCGGAAAAAAACTACCCCGGTGCCATAACACCTCCGCCGACCCGTGTTGTTTTCCCCGCACCGGCGCTTAACCTCTCCTCTCATTTCCCAAATGGCCGAAAATGCGGATATATTTTTACACGCATCCGATTCACATTAAAACCATCGCTTTCATACTGTATATCTCCCGCCCCCATTCATCCCGGTGACCCTTCACCCGTTAAATCCACCGGTGACCGGGTATTATCATCATTCTCTTATCTTCGGGTTTGTTTCAAATAATATGGCACCCGTAAATCATGTGCGACTAACCACTGTCACCGCAACCACCACCTTCCTCTGGGAAACAGGAATGTCTACTATCCGTTAGAGATTATATAGCATTGGGAATATTTTCTAAAACCGATGCCGCAATGAACGTATTAATATCCACACACACACAAATAATTTGTAATCATTTATTATTTTGTTTATTGTAACGCTCTGACTGTAGTTTATCAGCAATTAATAATAACGCAATAACAATTACGATAGTATTATATAACTTCTACTGTTCTACCTAAATAGTGCAAAATGGAAAATTCATAAATACAAATTAATAGTAAAGACAAACCTACGTGAAGTATAAAAAATAATAATTTTTTTTTGAATGAGAATGTTTTAAGCGATTATTGTTTGTTTGAATGTGAGTGCATGGAAAATTAAATAAACAGTACATTTAGATCAATTAAAAAATATGTAGTCCATGTTAAAAAAATTTCAAACTATTTATTTATATCATACATTATTCAGTATGTGTATTGTTTTCCGACAGTGAAAACCTCGAACATTGAAGAATAGAGAATATTTATGTACTCCCGATTATCGGTGAAGGCAAATAAAGTATTCTAAACATTATATTATATTATGTTTCTTGTTGCAATGTTTATTTCATTTTAAGTCGATATTGACAACATGCACCTATATATATTGTGATTACCTACGGTACCCGTGCCTCGATTGGAATACGTTTGAATTGCCAACAGTCAACGGCTAAAGACATGAAAGTAGGTATAGTTGTTCGCGGAGTACAATATATATATATATATATATATAAAACGTACACACCTTCTTAAAAAAATAAACAGCTGCACCCAAATACTACGTTTTGGATGTATCTCGGGTCTCGAAAATCGGACCTAGATAAACTGCAAGCCATTAAGAATAATATGTGTACATAACTTGTCAAATGCTTTCAATTTCTCTCCCATGCATGTACCTACCTACTATACAGTGGCGCATCCAGGATTTATTCGAGCGGTTGGAGGTTGTCCAAAAAAAAGTTATTCAATTAGATACTGGTTTTTCTGTTCCTTTCCTGAGTATACTTATACATTTATTGCTTAATGAACACAATTATTTATATCAATCAGCTTATGTCAGGGAAACTTAAAAAAATACAAATATATTAGGTACTACATTAGCCACAGGGGGAGGTTAGGTTAGGTTAGGTTTACCCCCATGGTCGCGGCACTGCTACTATGTGGCCTAGGTGATATTATTATAGTTATCTGCAATATTGTCATGAATCATGAATCATCAAGTAATAATAATTGTGTTTTTATGAAATAATTCGAGCAACTTGATTTAATTTTTGTTCCTAACTACCCAACTCGTTTTGTAAATACTTTTACTTATTATTAAGTAATATCTGTAAACAAATTTATTGTAGCTGTTTAAAAAAGTGAAATTAATTTTTTTAACTTAAGTGCATATGCGTTCCTATTTGTATTATGACATTCTCACATTTCTGGTTTACTTATTTATTAATAGTTAGTTAGAAATGTCAGGAGTGTAGTGGATAATTATTGTTAAGTTACATTTCTTAGTTCAGCTACATTTCTGAATATGTATATGATATCAAGTTTTGTACTGTCATTAGCAATAGGTACTGTATTAGCTTTTATAACCAACCAATATGTATATTGAAGTACAACATTAAAAAATAATTAAACTTTGGACAAGTTTTACAATGTTGAATGATTAGATTTGGCTTGAAGCCGTTACAAGGATATTTTTCTACATCCTACGTTACTTGAATTTAAAATATTCTATTTTTATTCTGTGAAATGACTTGTTAAGTAGGTATTGTGTTGAAAATTATGCACAGTTTACAGTTTTTTTTTTATCTAGTTAATTTGATTATATTGCACTGACAAAGAAAATCTGTTGTATCATCGTATTAATATATAATCGCCTTAAATAAAAACAAATACAAAAATTGTAATCCTGTTTAGATTAATAATATATGGCTATCATGTCAACACACAAATCACAGAAGAAATTTAAGTAATTTATTCGAGAATTTGTCTAAAAGAAAATATATAATAATATGAATTCATAAATTTAAAGTCGAAGTTTTTAGTTCTAAATGTATGAACTGCCTGAATAAATGCACTGGCTATTTTCAAATAAACAATACACTGCGTGATCATGTGTGAAATAAAGATTTTTTTTGTTCTGTAGAAATGAACCGTATGACGGCAGATGTTTGGACAAATAAAAAGGGGTACATATATATAACTATATATATAATTTATTATACATACACTTTTTTGTTTATACATAAATACATTTTGAGAAAATTCTATTCTAAGCGAATCCACTTAAAATTAAAACGTAATTCTATCGATATAACATATTTGGTTCCCGTAAAATTCTACAAATTAGCAATAACACAAGATATCATAATATAATATATTAAGATGAAAATTATATAAAAACATGTACGAGCAAATTGCATTTATTTGCTTGCAGCATATTGCTATTACATACCTACACCTTATTGTCTTAATATATTGAATCAATCTGTCATAAAAACGCACAAAAAATGTTTATTCCGTTGTACTGGACATGAAATAGAGACTTGTAGCTCCGACGATGTGTAAGTAATTGTTTGTCTTAAGTTGATAAACAGTCACGAATTATTCACACAAAACACTAGCACTATAATAATATTATAATATGTTAGCGGAAACTTGTCTGACTATTCGTAAGTAAAAACTGGTAACTTGTATCTGGTAACTGTTACTGCCATTTTTACGACAGTCAATTTTAAATGTAAAAATAATCGAAAATCGAAATTGTATTAGTAATACACTGGTGCCTATACATATAGTTTAAAACAAAAGTACACAAATATTACTTACATAAAAGTAATTTATTTTACAAAATATGTAGCGCTTACCTACCTAAGTGAAATTTTCTAGCAAGAAAAATAAAATAATTAAGTTTAATTTTTTTTTCAGAGCTTCATGTTTTTGTCGCTACATATAATTCATTTTGGTGTGCGGTTACACTCGATAAACTGAACAATTTGATCAAATTTGTAAAACAATCCGTTTTTATAGGTAATGTAAAACACTTATTATGTACCAATTATGTTAATGAATAATCGTAACTGTGTTGTACTTTATAATATTAATATATTTTACTTTTCATAATAAATCATTTATCAAGTAGAATTTAGAAAGCATATTATTATATTAAGTACAACGTACATATTATAAAGTGTTCAGAAAATAAAATATGCAAACAATATTATAATACCTAGGTATGGACGTGTGGTATTATTTTTACCAATTAGTACGTACATTAATTTAAAATATGGTCCACAGTGTTTAACAACACTATTTGGTTTTAATCTTTAAAATGATTTGTCACCTAGTTTTATAATGTTTTAGGTACCTAAAAAAGCAGGTACCAAGTATCAAATTAACAAATTAGTTAATTGTCATGTGATTTTTCAAACATTTAAACACTGTCATTAAATTAAAACTAAAACTGTAATTTCAAAAGTGCTGTTATATATTATATACTTACTATGCTTTAAAGTAATCACACGCAACTTAACATATTATAATTGTATTAAAAGAGGTTTTAATAATGTTGTGTAAAACATTTATTATCATTTTTTTAGTTTTATATGAGCCATGTTTGTTAAAAACGTGAAAAGGTTTAAGTAACAGTGGAACAATAATATTTAAATGACGTGAACTTCGTGTGTATCATCCATTAATTTTAAACGTGTGTCATGTGGTTTCTTCCACTCATTTAAAAAATATCTCTGAAAAATGTCACATCAAATAAATTATCAACTGTGAAAACACGAAAAAGCTTATTATCTTAGTGTGGTTTCCTATACAATATGCAAGTACAATACGGCTCACGAGTACATACATACATATTATTTATTAATTAAATTGTATTTTCTTATGATTTTGTGTTTGATTTAGTCGAGAATCGGCATGATATTTTATATTTTATCAATTTGTTCATTGATTACAAAACATTTATAAATTTATCTATTTAACTTTGCTCTATAGTAAATAGTTTGTTTTTAATAATTGTATCTAATACCCATGTAACATATAAGAAAAAATAACATTATTTCCGATTTAATCGGCCATAAAACAAAACAAGAATTCTAAGAATAATACTGAATCTAATACAATGATAGTCAGACAATAATAATTTTTTTTAATGTGATATACAACTCTAGAAGTATATTATAATGTACTGTTAGCCAAAGAATAAGTAATATAAATAGTAGCTTTTCAATATTAAAACACATTACTTTGTATATATTACATAATTGGTATTATCAAGTATGTCAAGTCTATAGGAATATAGGATCAAAGACAACGTACAAACACTGTAGATAAATTATATGTGCCCACTCCTATGAAGCGTCTATACAATGATGATAACCGAATAAACCGAATAATAAAAATATGTACACACAGAGATTGTCAGCTTTAGACCATTAATAATGAATTTCCCCGAAGCTATAATCCATATTTTATGGTATACACCATAGTACATACATCACCATAGAAGATTTATTTTTTCTTACACATATCAGCTTATTCTACTTACACGTGTGAAGACTTTCGTGGTTACCTACCATATTCTTTAAGCAGGTACTCATGTGGTATTGAATCGGTATAACTTAAAGTACACCTACTATTAAGCGCATTATAAAATGCTAAATACACAAACGAATATGGATATTTTAATTAAATTGGATCTAATTACTAAAGGGAATATTATACTAGATGTTTGGTAGGTTGAATAAGAAAATAATATAAATTTTACTTTTTATTAAGTTGATAGTTTCTATATCCATCTACTGGTTTATCCTTAAATTATGATTCAACACGCTTGCGTTGTTTATAGTGAATATTTTAAAATGATTTATAACCGACGTTTTTTTTTTTTTTTTGTCTGCCCAACTTGTCATGAAATACTTGTTGAAGTCATAATTATTATAAGGGCGTGAGTAGTAAATAAAAAAAAAATAAAAGTGAATATATTTATGTACGCAAAAAATGAAATCCTTTTAATCTTTACGGAAAGATGTTTTTCCTCTCCTCTTTAGAAAAATGATTACATCATTTTCAGATTATTAATGGTTGGACATATCAGAATACTCCCGTCAGTAATGGTCTTATCATAATATATACTACAAGCATATCCATTGAAGTTTCTTGCATTATCATAATATTGAGACATAATTGATCTAGGTGAACGAAATAATATGAAATCACTTAAATAATTAACACTTTAATGTCAACAATGCAATTATGTATTAAACATTGTTTTTACACAATGGTTATTAATTAAGGTTTATACTTAGTAAATGCAGCAATCATTCAAAAGTTTTAGTCGTTGAGCATAAACTTAATGAACTTATTTAAGTTTTGGTCTATAAATAGATACTGAATTATATCGTGGCTGATTTAATGACAATAGATATTTAAGAATTAATTAATGATAAAATTAAACTATGTTTATGTTTGAAGTGATTAGTGTTTACGTTTACACTGTATTTCATTAAATGCATGTATCCAACTATCATATTGCACAACTTCAATCTTTCTTTTAATAATAGACAATAATATAAATAAAATAATATTATAATAATAATAATAATATGTGACTAAGCGTTTGAAAACAAAATTCCCGATATTATTGTGCGTTTCGACAAGACCGAGTACTATCGTCTATATATATATGTTACGGGCAAAAGTCGAAATCGGGCAAACCTCAGAAATGCCCGGGCAAAACTCGAACTGCCCACAATCCTTGGGCAAAATGTCATATTTCGGCTTTTGACCAGGCAAACCTAGTTATGACCAACCTAATTTGGGCAAAACCGTATACTGACTTTTATCGTAATGGCAAAACCGTAGTGTCTTATATACGTTCGATAATATTAAATATAAATAGTGATTTTTGTCACAGGGATGGTTTAAAAATTCTACACGAGAAGCCACGTCATTCGCAAAGCCAGCTGGGGAGTGTTGAGCGAGCTAACCAGGATTATAAACGCTACGGTTTGGCTCAAGTGGGGTTTAAATGTATTAATTAAGTTTATTCAATTATATTTGTTCAGTCGCTTATTAGACTCAAAATCGTCTGGAACGGACCGGACGTATCAAAATACATTAAAAAAAAATCGGGTATAAGACTCAACGCTTCGGTTATAAGACTCACATTTCGTAAAATAAATAGTAGAAAATAAACTTTTTTGGTTATAATTTAGAAATAAATTGGTATTGAAAAATTAAATAATATTCGTGTTGATTATTCCTAGTTTCTGTTGGTACCTTATAACGTATAATAATTTTTATAGCAGATAAAAGTTCACATTTATCGCAACGATTATCGTTATTATAGTGAGGTATCTGATTATCTGGCGGCTGCACAGTTATCGTAATTACGGGTACATAAATACACATACGTATATACCTAACCTTTATAATTTTTTATTAATGTATAATTTTTATAATATTTTTATATGTATTATTTACCTATTATAATTTTAGTTTCTTTTTATCAGGATTATTAAATTTATTCAACAATAAAGTATGTAATATGTAATATGTGTTAAAGTATTAAAATCAAAGCAAAATATGTAGTAAAATAAAATTTATAAATACGTAATTAATTTTTTTTTCCACTTCGCCTATAAGATTCATTCGGTTATAAGACTCACTTTGTGCTGGTCCCAAAGTGAGTCTTATAAGCGGCGTCTACTGTATTTATTTTAAAATTATTTATATTTAATATTACCGAACGTATATAAGACACTATGGTTTTGCCATTACAATAAAAGTCAGTATATGGTTTTGCCCAAATTAGGTTGGTCATAACTAGGTTTGCCCGGTCAAAAGCCGAAATATGACATTTTGCCCAAGGATTGTGGGCAGTTCGCGTTTTGCCCGGGCATTTCTGAGGTTTGCCCGATTTCGACTTTTGCCCGTAACATATATATACACCTACAGTCCAATTAATCCATTAGGTTTGCAGTTGCAGCGACGGTAAAAAATAAAAATTGACCAAATCGACCAAATCGACCAAATCGACGTAAAAGGGCAAAAAATAATATTCATGAAATAAAAAAAAAAAATAATAATAAAAAAAAAAATATATATATACATATAAATATATGAAAAAAAAAACCACCCTACGATCCAGATTTATACAGCGACAGGTCTGCGCCCGGTGTGTATGTCATAATTTGTGTCTAATGTTCAATAAATTCCCGGTAACCCACACTGACGCTCGCACCACCGACAAGCGTGTGGGCGGGGGCGGGTGGGAATATATGTGTGTGTGTGTTGAGAGGGGGGTGACGTGTGTGTGTGTGTGTGTGTGTGGAGTGAGGGGGTCTAGCACGCAGTGGGCAAAATGAATTGTTGGCCCCGCGAGAGCAGAGGGAACACCGCCGCGCGTTATTGAAATAAGAGCGCCGGCATAATGGCGATCCCCAGGCGCGCGCGAGAATAAGGAAAAATTCCGTGGCCGGCGTATATATACGGGTGTCGGTCGTGATGGTGATGGGGGGGGGGGGGGGGGCGGTGGCGGTAGTAGAATATAGCCGGTACACATAATATACCGTATAGGTATAAACCGCGGCTCTGTGCGTACGCATATACATCTATAATATATGGTATATACCTACGATATACCTACCCCGGTTGCAGCGGCAACCCTAACCGTTCCACGCAACCGCTAGCTGAATAACTCCTGTGCGCGAACCGAACTGCACCGGGTAGCGAAGGGTGGGGGAGGGCCGGGGCGGATGTAGCTCATGAAAAATCCCATTTGTTCTGCTAGTCCATTTCCCGAAATGAATATATATGGCGTCGCGAGCTGTTGTTATGTGCGCGTCTGCAGCGTCTCCACATATTACATAGGTTCGCGCGCGTGTTACCACACGTGTACCACCCTCCGGTATAGCCTTGCGCCGGGTTCGTGTGTAGGAGATCTAACCGTTTCTTTCGTCACCAGAGGAATCCCGTAGTTGCTGGTAGATTTAAATTCCTATACGTATTCTTTTAAC